GACTCTCGCCCTGGGCATTCTATCGACAGCTGTCTTCACGATGCTCACCCCGCTGGCCATTGAGGAGGGCGGCTCCGACTGGCTGATTGTGACGCGTGTCCTGATGGGCCTGGGCGAGGGCACCACATTCCCCGCATTGAGTGTCCTGCTGGCTGCCTGGGTGCCAGCCAACGAGCGTGGTAAACTGGGCGCCTTGGTCCTGGGCGGTGGTCAGGTGGGCACCATTTTGGGCAACCTGCTATCGGGCGTCTTCCTCGACACTTACGAATGGCCATTTGTCTTCTACTTCTTTGGCGGTCTTGGCGTCGTTTGGTTTGTCATCTTCGTAAGTACCCTCACATTTTTTATGTTTCTATTTTATTATACTTTGAACCCATTTTTTTAAAATATTCCTTAAGAAAAGTAGAGGAAGATGAAAGCTTTATTTTCTCGTTCTAGTAAAAAGTTTTAAAAGTTGTGATTTTGCTATTTTAGTTTTTTATCTGCATGAATCTATTTTGGATACTCTAATTTAGTATTTTAATACTGAAATTTAGTATTATTATATAAATTTTGAATTAGGTTCTCATACTAACTAAGTCAAGGACGACAATTGAAATTCATCAATGTCGTTTTCATTTGTTTGTTTTCATGAATAAAATTATAAATGTTGATTAAAATTCCCGATCTTTTTAGTTTGACCTAATATTTTATACTTTATTATACTATCTGCTTCAATCCAGTATTTTGGCGTCTTAGCCTGTTGTTCGACAAGTTCATTATAATATTTTATACGACACTATATATCATACATTTTTATGTAAATTTTGTTCTTTTGTTTGTTTTTTAAAATCTAGTATAAACTAGTTAAATTGACTTTTTCATGTCTGTAGCTCAATTGGGCATAGCTAATCCATTTCAGTATTTTGCTAAAGTCGTATTTAAAAACTATTTAGTATTTTAACAAATTTATGAGCATATTTTAATAAAAATGTAGTACTTATATGATCTGCTTATAACACAACTGTACTCAATTTGCTTGCAGGTCTTCCTCTGCTACAGCGATCCCAACAGCCATCCGTTCATCAAGCCCTCGGAACGCGAATATCTGAGCAATGAGATTGGAACAATTGGTCGTAACGATAATCTGCCGCCGACACCCTGGAAGGCCATCCTCACCAATCTGCCGATGTTTGCGCTGGTCTGCGCTCAGATCGGTCACGATTGGGGCTTCTATATTATGGTGACGGATCTGCCCAAGTATATGGCCGATGTGCTGCAGTTCTCGATCAAGGCTAACGGCCTGTACTCCTCCCTGCCGTACGTGATGATGTGGATCGTGTCGGTGGGCAGCGGCTTTGTGGCCGATTGGATGATTCGTCGTGGCATCATGAATACGACCAACACGCGTAAGGTGATGACTGGACTGGCCGCCTTCGGCCCGGCCATCTTCATGGTGGGCGCCTCCTATGCCGGATGCGATCGTGTCCTTGTCGTTGTCCTCTTCACCATCTGTATGGGCCTGATGGGCGCCTACTATGCGGGCATGAAGCTCAGTCCCCTGGACATGAGTCCCAACTATGCTGGCACTCTGATGGCCATCACGAACGGAATTGGAGCGATAACGGGCGTGGTGACGCCCTACCTGGTGGGCGTGATGACACCAAATGCCACACTGCTCGAATGGCGCACCGTCTTCTGGGTGGCCTTTGGCGTGCTCTTCATCACGGCCATCGTCTACAGCATTTGGGCGTCCGGCGAAGTACAGCCCTTCAACGATGCAATCATCGAGCCACGCAGCGTCGACTTCGAGGCCGAAGAACGCAAACCGCAGCCCAAATTGAAGGCCCTGGAGCAGAGCTCCTAGATCCAATCAGATCCAAAGTGCCATAGCCTAAGTGCTCCAGTTCCAATCCAAACCATGTTCGTGTGATGCTTTCGTCCACCTGTTGAATTTCGAGAATTTTGTTGTTATGGAACCGCCAGAAGACATTGTTAACGTGCGATCCTCTATTGTAATTGCTAGTTTTATAGTATGCCAAAATGTCGGCCCCCAGTGCGCTGTCTAACTAAGTATATATATACATGTATGTCTATATCTATAGTAAGTTGTAAGATTTTAGCTGCAGCTATGGTCCCCCAAAAACCTCCCAAGTCCCAGTCCCTTGTAACTTATGCCTGTTATACGTAGGATAGATTTGCTATCCAATCACCCGTCCCATCCGCCCACCTCCCACCGGCACCTGCAGCAATTTACTCTCTTAATTATTATTTAGTATTTAAACGAAACAGCAAAAAAATCCAATTTTAGTTTAGCGAAACAAAAAAGAAAAACAATAAACAATAATAAGATAGCATGTACCTAATTTGCATTGCAAAATGTAAAATGAAGATGGAAAAAAAAAACATTCTGTTTAAATATTGTACGAAATTTTTTAATTGTTGATCAATGTGTAATACATGTGCTCTTAACTTTAACGTTAAGACATAATTGTTTTTATAATGTTAGTCCAAATAAAGTGCATAAACTAATACAAAAACTTGCGCAAATTTTTATTTATTTTATTTAATTTTTTTTTGTGAATATTATTCTATCTTGATAGAAAAAAGTGGGAGTACTCTAGTACTTCAACTAGAAGAAAGCTTATAGTAATCTATTTTTTTTTTTTAATTCCTATTAAATAAAAAAGCAAAGTAAAAGTAGTGCAAATTATATAACTTGTCGAAAATAGAAATATCCTTGCATGCATAGAGAAAGATAATAAAGAAAGAAATATTTTACCAAGGATATTTTGAAAGCATAAGGAAAGGTTTTTAATTAGATAGATAGATATGTAGTTAAAATTATCTATTTATTTTTCTTTGTTCTCTCTTTTGACATTTAAAATTGTTACTTTGTCATTTATAGGCAGTTATTACTGTATTGTATTGCTGTACAAGCATTTATAACTCAAATGACATCATATCTGAGTTGTGATTTATTTCACATAAATTTAGATTTTTAATTAAGTATTTAGCTTTTTAATTTTTTTTTTATATTTGTATATTTTAACAAAATGCCACAAATGCAGCTAAAATTACGCAAGTTTTTTGACTGTGAGTAGCGAAGCGGGAATGGGGCTATATAAAGCTTAATCGTTATAGATCTGCAGGTGCGACAGCGCTTGGTACTCTGCGCCTTTGCCCTGTTGGCCATTGTGAATGCCTACAGCATACGCCTGTGCCTGGACTTCTCGTTGAGCCGCATTGCCAGGGATTGCAATGAATTGGCCGCTGTCCAATTGGAAAATGCGCAGCGTACGTGGCGAAAGGCTCCGAAGGCGAATTCCGATAGGGCGCATGGTCGATATGCGGCGAATAAGGTTTTGGCCGCTATAAATGCCTTTGCGGCGAAATTTCACCCAACGGCGAATAGTCCGTATGCGGCGAGAAATATCCGTGAGTCGAGAATCAATCAACGGGCGAGAGCTGGCCATAAGGAGAAGCCGGCTCGTCCGACGCGACAGCCTCGCACGACGAGACAATCGCGTCGTGTGGCAAGGAATGATCCGACGCCTTCGTATCCAAGGCAAAAGAGTGGCATGTCATGTGAGACTCAGGTGTATCAGCATCCACTGCGAAAACCGGAGTCCATTACCGTGACCAACAGTGCCGACATATGGACCAAGGAGGTGCAGGTGCTAATCACAATATCCTTCTATGTGGGCTACATGATCACCCACATACCGGGCGGGCGGCTGGCGGAGCGTTATGGCGGCAAATGGATCTTGGGCGCTTCGATACTATCGTCGGGTATCTTAACCTTGCTCACGCCCACAATCGTGCGTCATGGAGGACCCAAATCAGTGATGCTGCTGCGCATGGTGATTGGCCTATTCGAGGGACCCACGTTTCCGGCTGTGAGCGCGATGCTGGCCCAATGGGTGCCGGAGAAGGAGCGCGGAAGGCTGTGCAGCTCGGTGCTGAGCGCCGGCGAAATAGGCATCATATTTATGCACCTGGTCAGTGGGTTTACGATCGACGAGCAGGACTGGGCGGTGGCCTTCTATGTGGTTGGCAGTGGAGCGATTCTTTGGTTCATGGGCTTTGTAAGAGATCTCTGCCTGATTGGCTACAGATAATGTGATTGATCTTTCGTAGGTTGTGGTCTGCTATAGCAAGCCGGATGACTCGCCGTACATACAGAGCAGCGAGCGGGAGTATATCAAGAGTCAGGTGTGCGAAACACTGGAAACGGAGTCTGGGGATGCCAATGAGGTTGTGCCCTGGAGCAATATGCTGATGAATGCACCCATTTGGGCGCTGATTGCGTCCAACATGCAGCACGATTGGAATCAACAGGAGTTTGCCAAGGAACTGGAGCAGATGCTGCTTGACTTGGAGGCCAAGGGCAAATCCTACTGGAACGAATTGGAGACCAGCATTCGCCTGATGGCGCCACATCTCTACAGCTGGCTGGCCTCCCTCACCTCCGGCTCGTTCAGCGACTATCTGATTTCCGAGGGCATCCTGAATCGCACGCAGACGCGTCGCCTAATGTCCTGGCTGGTCTTCATTAGCGTAACCATGTATTTCATCCATGACAAAGAGAGCTCGGCCCGACCCTGGAGCATCCTGGCCTTTGGCGCCTATTATGCGGGCATCAAGCTGCTGCCGCTGGACATGAGTCCCAACTTTGCCGGCACCTTGATGGGCATCACCAATGGATTGGGTGCACTGCCCGGACTGGTGTTGCCCGTGCTGGAGAAACTGGAGGAGGAGTACGCCATCATTGGCAGCATTCGAGCCACTTTGTGGTTTATCTGTGCCGGCTATATATCGGGCGAAGTGCAGTCCTACAATCAATTGGAACCTACGGCAAATCGTTCCTGAGCCCAATTGTTGTTCTTGTTTTTCTTTAGTAGTTAGAAATGTTTATAATTTTTTTAAAGCTAGGATAACATTTAACTATATTATATAGTTTTCGCTTATATATACATACATATATGTACATATATGTATATAGAAATACACGAAGATACTTAACAGTTGTGTTATATGTTTCATTATAGAGGACTTTCATTGCTAAAACTAAAGCACAATAACTAAAATAAGATTTTCCATATCTTTTTATGTGTCTTGTGAATATATAACAGGGATGATCATTTCATTTCATTGATTAGTCTATGTGTGTTTGTCTGTCTGTCTGTCTGGCTGTGTGCGTCCATTGGGAATAGGTCAGTGTAAATATACTTAGGTAGCACACACAACGTCAGTTGAAACGCATTTAAATGCTCGCTTATTTGGCTGCCATCGTCCCGCCATATCGCGTGGAGGGGGTGCTGGTGGGGGCCAATCATTGCTGTCCTGTACTCGTCTACATGGGTCCTTGTTGCATGAAACCGGATTGGGCCATCGCCGACACGGAATTCATGTCGATGCCCAGCTTGCGGGTGACATTGATTTGAGCTAGCGCCGCATTACGCAGCGAGTACACATGGACCAGCTCTGCATGGCTCTTGGCATAGAGCAGCGCCTTCTCAAACAGTTCAACAGCACGCCGCAGCTGGGCGCGCTGCACCTCAACGGTGCCGAGCGTCTCGTACGCCAGCTCGCACTTGGGATCCACCTCGATGGCACGATTCAGCAGTGATACAGCGGCATCGATGTCGCCGCGCCACTGCAGCATCATGATCGCCTGGTGGACGAGCAGGGCAGGATTTGTGGGCGCCCGCTTCATGGCCATATCGTAGAAGTTCTGCGCCTGCGGGAACTGCTGCTGATCGGCCAGCACTTGAGCCATCAGACTGTAGCACTCGACACAGTCCGGGAACTTTTTGATAGCCAGCTCGAAGTCCTTGATCACGCGCTCCAGGCTGTTCTGATCGCCGGACATCAGTGCCAAACGGTACTCGGCATAGCATTTCTGTACATTGGCAATGGCATGATTGGGCGCTAGGCGCACAGCCTTGTCGAACTCCACCAACGCCGCGTCAATCTGCTCCAGCAGCAGCAGGATCTGTGCACGCTGATGATATACATCTGGATTGTCGGGCTTCAGTTTCTCGGCTTCCGCAAAGTCAGCCAACCCCTTTTCACGCTCCTCCATCTGAATGAATAACGCAGCACGTCTAATATACGCATAGGTCCGCAGTGTGATATCCGCATCGGCTAAAAAAGAGATTGCCATTAGAGAAGGAATGCATTATTCATATCGAATCGGGGGATCGATTCAGTTACCATTCGCCAGTATGGCGTCAAAGTCGAGCTTGCTGTCGGCAAAGGAGCCGCACAGCAAATGGAATGTGCCGCGCATTAGCAGCGCCTCCACCTTGTACTGTGATTCCGCTTCTGAGGATTCAATTTCTTCGGTGCATGCCGCAATGATCTCATCGTATTTCTGTTCGTCGAACGCACGTCGAGCGCGTATAAAACCGCGCGGCGGCGCATCATTTTCCGTTGGTTCGGGCAGGACCATCGTCTGCAGGGGATCGGCTATAAAGGAACGCATGTAGGTGTCAATGAAGCTGGACGAGGGCACCACGGGCACACGATCCCGCAGACCCTTTTCGGCGTCTATGCGTCCCGTCTCCTTCAGCACGCGATCGGCGAACATGATGGTGTTGTTGTTCTGAAACATCTCCAATATACAGGTGGCTGTGACATCGTCCAGGCACTCGGTCATATCCCTGGTGGCCTCATGGGCACGCGCCCGCCTATAGTAGGCCTTGGCATAGCGCGGATTATATTCCAGCGACAGGGTACAATCCTCCTTGACCTTGTTCCACTTTTTCAGCATTTCGTAGGACGCAGCGCGATTCTGATAAAAGATTGCCATATCCGTGCGATGCTCGGTGGGACACTTGTCAATGGCCTTGTCGTAGAAGCTAATGGCCTCATCGTATTTGCCATTCCTATAGCAATTGTTGCCCTCCGTCTTATAGTTGTTGGCCTCCTTCAGCGGCGACATCTTTTCGCCCAGCTCGGCCGATTTCTTCTTTTGCTCCAGCTCCGCATCTGTGGCGGTGCCATCAATGGACAGATTCTGCTTCTCGATTTTGCCCTTTTGTCGCGTTTTGCCGGCATCACTGGAGTTGTCCGGCGTCTTCCCGCTTTTGGCGCCGTCGCGCGAGCTTCGATTCAGCACATATATGCCCAGGCCGATGGCCAGGGGCGTGCCCAAGATGAGGGCCACTTGCCATTTGTTTAGTTTGACGGAGTTGATGTTCAGGAACGTTGCCATTTGTGGGCCTTCCTAAATGTGTGTGCAGCTTGTAGAAACTGCAAAAAGACGAAAACATTGTGTAATAATCACTGCCCGGTCGTCTTATCATACGCACTGGGGGCTCTGAGCGCTCAGAGCGCGAATAGCGGCGATTCGCTAAGTATATACCGGGCGGGGGGCCCACGATTTTGGCAGCTTTAGCTTTGCCCTTCCCCTTATTGATTTTTAACACATGGTTGGGGGGATGGAGTGTGGGTGGGCGACCATTGGCTACTCACGTTTGTCTTGTAATTTAACACTGCAATGAATTTTGCAAATATGAACTGTTGCTTGAATGCTTTTTAGTGAAGAGTAAATAAAAATTAATATTATGGAATACAACTAGCCTGCTTAGAAAATAGAACACACCGAAACTACCGAACAGCTGCGTAACTGTTGAGCTGTTGAACGGCTGTTAGGCACATGTGACAGCTGGATGTAGCGTGCTGCGGAAGCTCTCTGCTATGAGACTCTCTTAAAACATTCACCGCAACAGAATATTGCATTACGATAACAGTTCAATTCCTATCAGAGTTAACAGATATTCTTATTTGAGTGGGCCAGAGACAATATGAATAGGCATAAGAATATTCATATGTATTTGCCAATGTAATTAATGTTTCTACTTAGCGGCCTCACAGGAAAACGCGTTTATTGCGTATATGCGATGCTAAGACCTGATCATTATTTCCTCGTCGATACTAATCCGACATTTTGCATTGAAGTTTTGCGATAACAAAAACAAAGAATATACACATACAAAACATGCATACGTACATACATACATATGTATATATGTACATATATGCATGTGGTTGACGATCGAAAGACGCAGAGCTGAGTGCAAATGAGTTCAACTAAAAGGCTAAAAATATGTACACACATACACACTCGCACAGTGCAGGAGGCAGATGCAATCCGATGCAACAGAAATATGAACAAAGCTTTTTCTGACGACTGTGTGCAGGTGTGGGTGTGAGTTGTGTATACGAAGCCCACTTCCAATGCAATAACAATAAATACACAATAAAATCTCTATATTAGTTTTCATTTTTATTTGATAAATTATACCTAAAGCAAACTTCATAACTTCATAATTTGAAACGAACTAAGCTTAAGACTAAATTATAAGTCCGTAACTAAATTAAGTTTAGGAAATTGTAAAAACTAGTATTATATTCAAATACGTAATTCCAGTGTTTTTTTCAGCGACAGCCGACAGTGCCAGCTGCCGCCGAAGCAGCTTCAATTCTCTTCCCTCCTTTTTCCTCTTGGGTTGCTTTTAAATTTCTTCCTTATGCTCTTTCCTTTTTTTTCGATTTGCAATTTCAATTCAGTATTTTTTTTTTTTTTTTTTTTTTGTTCTTTCTTTTTTACACTCTCAAGCCACTCGATGTGTTAGTGTCTCTTTCTTTGTACACCTGGTGTATCAGTTCTTCAAAATCTTTTTGTTGTTGTTGGTGTTCATGAGTTTGGTTAAAATTTTCCTCGAGTGGCCCGACGGGTCAAAGTGGTTGGTGTGCTCGCTGGCCTCCTTCTTGGAGCGCTGTTTGCCGCTGTGGCCCGAAAAGATGTGTTTGCCATGGTCGAAGTTGTAGTGCTCGTATTCATCAAAGTACGCCTCAGACATGTTTTTTGTTTCTTCTTATATATGTACGTATGTATATAATTGAGATCTTGTTTATTATTGTAGGTATGGCCTTTCAGTTGTTGTTTCTCTCTCTAGAGTTTTCTTTTTGGATGAAAGTTTTTATTTTTGTTTATGCGTTACTTCCACTGGTTTTTAACTACGACGTTGTCACAGTAAAGTACGAATGGAAATTGAACTTTTTGTCGCATACGGCCACCTGCTTATATACTACCCGGCCAGAGCTTTTTCTCGAAACGCATACGAGGTTTGATGAGTTACTCTCTCTCTCGCTTGCTGATTCTCTCACAAGCGCCTGCCCTGTTGACAATTCAGCGATGTGTTTTTCAATTTGAAATATTATTTTTAACATGATTTTATTTACCTGATTTGAATGATTTATTTATTTTTGAATCTGTAATAATTTAAATTAGCAAACGCTTTTTCAATTTGGACAGGGATTTGTCTGACTTTTAGCTCAAAATAAACGGGTTATAGTTTGTTTATACATGGCCAAAACTGAATACATTTTCGAATAGTAAGTTACCCGAATAGTAAGCTAGCGCGTACTAAGATATGTAAGCCACAAATTCATTTTGAGTTTTATGTAAACTCTGGAAGTTTCTGTCATTTGCTATTGGGTTGTTTGCTATTCTGCTTGTCGTCTCTCTTTCGCTCATAAAACACGCATGAGCTAAAGTTCTGGGAGAGAGAATGAGAAGCTTTCCTCAATAATTGCTGCGCAATTTAATTTTTGTTGTGTTTACAAAATGCGCGGTAAACAAAAAAAAAGGAAGAACAAAAACAGAAACGCAACGTCAAACACATTTTTCGCCTCGTACATAAATTATTTTGAATGTCTTTCATAACAGACACGTTTTTTAATATACATTATATATACGTATGTACATACATATGTACATATGTATGTATTTAAGTGCGAGTGTATGCAATTGTTCTTGACGCCACGTCAGTGGCCGGGAGAGTGCACATGTGTATGTATGTATATATAAGCGTGTCTTTTGTTGCATCATCATTATGATCGTGTATCAAACACATGTTGCATTTCCAAGTCACTGGCCGGCTCATTGCCAAAAATTTTCCGTTACAACTGAAATGTCAATATAGAGGAAAACAAACTGAATGCTTATCCTCAAACAACAAAGACCAGACGTGTGTGACAGCACGTAAATACAATATGTGTGTATATAAATATATACACACATACACATTGTGTATATTTTTGCGTGTTAGCTTAAGAACGAAGGCCTGTCACCACGTCGGCTGACGCTCTCCTGCCCGCTGACCTACTTTCCTCTTTTGCTCATAAGGTTTATGTTTAGAAAAGAAGCTTTTAATTTGATTAGTAGACCACTTATTTATATAAATGCAATTCTTACGCACATCAGATGTGCCGGTGATAAGCATTGTTTACCGCTATCAGCTGGCAGACATATTACTCATTCAACACCTCGGGCTTTCTCAAGCTATACCGAATCAAAAGTTCAACGTGCTTCAAAAAATAAAACTTCGAGAAACATCGTAATAGAAGATTCCCGAAGCTCAAACGTTTTTGTTTTTGTTATTCTTATTTTCTCGAATTGATCAGTGTACTGGCCTTGAAGTGTTGTAAAAGCTGAAAATGTTGATTAGATTGTTGTCTACGCTAAGCTTAAAAGCGCTTTTCGCTTGGGTGTGTGTCTTAGCTAACAGTACAGTGTAAGCAATTTTAACATTGTTTACAAATTTTAATAATCAAAAGATTTTAAAATAAGACAAAGTTCTTAAGGTAGAGTATTTGACACAACCCGTCAGCGTTTTACTGAACTGCCGCAACGCTCTGGACGTTTATGTGTTGCCCCTTGACTGCCAGCATGTCCGTGACTTGACCAATTAGATTGATCATTAATTGGCTCTCGCCGTGATTAAACAGCTTGCTCTCTGTGCGTCCCTTAAGTATGCATTGGCGCATCTCCTCCATTTCGTAGCACATGCCAACACGGCTATCGAAGTACGTTGGCCGATCAGTACTTGGCAATTTGAACTTGATTTTCTTATTATTAAATAGCAATAATGTGGGGCACCAGAAGCAGTTCATCTGAAATGATTAAGAGGAAATGATTAAGAAGTTGGCTTCTTTTTTGTATATCACTCTAAGAACTTACTGTGACGGAGCCTTTGGTACCGCGTATGCTGGCCATATTCTCCAGATTCTTCTCGGCGCTGAGTTCCAGGATAGCACACCGATTGTTCTTAAACCACAGTTCTATTTCGGCGGCTACATCAACGCCTCCATCATTGAGCTTGCCCGCAGCCTTCACAAACATCGGCACCTCCCTATAGATCCATAAAGCTAGCTGTATGCAGTCAGCCGCCCAGTTCTTTGTCACGCCCGCATAGGTCGCCCTGCTGGACTGGGCGATAGGCAGACGCCAGCCCAATTGACACTTCACGTCATAGACTGTGCCTAGTTTCTGTTTCATGATCTCGCTGCGCAAGCACTGATAGGCGGGCAGACAGCGCGACCAGACACCCTCCATCAGAAACAAACCACGTGCCTTAGCCTTGCCCACAAGTTGAACCACTTGCTGCTCATCCATGCAGAGTGGCTGTTCGCATAGGACGTGCTTGTCATGGTTGAGCATCAGGTGACACAGCTCGCAGTGCATGCAATTCAGCGGAGATATATAAACGGCATCTGCAATATGCTCAAAATATAACAGCTGTTATCTGTATCTGTATCTGTATCTGTATCTGTATCTGTATCTGTATCTGTATCTGTATCTGTATCTGTATCTGTATCTGTATCTGTATCTGCATCTGTATCTGTATCACTATCTATATCTGTATCTGTATCTGTATCTGTATCTGTATCTGTATCTGTATCTGTATCTGTATCTGTATCTGTATCTGTATCTGTATCTGTATCTGTATCTGTATCTGTATCTGTATCTGTATCTGTATCTGTATCTGTATCTGTATCTGTATCTGTATCTGTATCTGTATCTGTATCTGTATCTGTATCTGTATCTGTATCTGTATCTGTATCTGTATCTGTATCTGTATCTGTATCTGTATCTGTATCTGTATCTGTATCTGTATCTGTATCTGTATCTGTATCTGTATCTGTATCTGTATCTGCATCTGTATCTGTATCACTATCTATATCTATATCTGTATCTGTATCTGTATCTGTATCTGTATCTGTATCTGTATCTGTATCTGTATCTGTATCTGTATCTGTATCTGTATCTGTATCTGTATCTGCATCTGTATCTGTATCACTATCTATATCTGTATCTGTATCTGTATCTGTGTCTTACCAACATCTGGGCAACGTGCCAGATCCTCAAAGCTGGTAAAAACATTGGGCACCTGATAGCGATTGGCAAAGGTGAGTGCCTGTGATCGATAAGCGTCCATGCAGGCGGTGATGCAGTGGCTGTCCGGTGGCAAAACCCTGATTGCGGTGGCAAAGTCTTCGGCCAAGAGATTGACGGGCGCAATGCCCCAGCGTAGTTTCCGTTGCGACTCGTCTGAGTTCCATTTAGATTCGCTCTGCCTTGTGCTCTGTCTACGAAGTGCATCTGGCCTCATATGGTGCATACAACGTCCAGCCAAATCTGCGAGCGAGGTGGGGTAAAGAGTGGAAAGGCGGACAGATTAGCTGAGCCATTGCCATCTATAACAAAAACTACGTCGAGCTGTGGAGCGAGTCGCGTAAAACGCATTTCATTCATACAAATCGCAATTGCATGGATTGTTTTATTTCTATACTCATTCACGAAAGAAAAATGAGTATATTGGTTTTGTGCAATTTGGTATGTATATGAGTATGGGAAACGAGTAGTAGTTGGGTAAAAAATGTTAGTTAACAATGTATTAGCGTAACACTGTTAAATAACAGTGTGTTACAAAACACTGTTAAATACAATGTAAATTAATATTTTAAGACCTCCCTACATCTCATTTCTATTTACCTGTTCGTTAAAGTTTTAATCCCAGCGGCTGCAACAGCCGATCGCTGCAGAGATAAAAGGAAACGAAGCGGCTGCTCTACAATTCATACAAATTTTTAGCCATTTGTATGAGAATTTCGCACGTTTCAGGCATTTTAGTAGTATGAGTACTCTGCAGTCGGTAATGCCCGACTGCAACGTTCTTACTTTTTATACCCTGAACCCATTGAAAATGGGAAATCAGGGTATAATGGTTTTGTGAAAAAGTATGTAACGGGCAGAAGGAGGCGTGGCAGACCCCACAAAGTATATATATTCTTGATCAGCGTGACGAGCTGAGTCGATATAGCCCTGTCCGTCTGTCCGTCCGTCCGTCCGTCCGTATGAGTGCGTCGATCTCAGAAGTTATAAGAGCTAGAGAGCTGAAATTTGGCATGCATACTCGTGTGTACCATACGCAGTACGAGTTTGCTTTATTTTTTCGATAAATCATCCGATAACTTTTTTATCGAGAATAATCGAAAAATTGATTTTGTTTTTTAAGCCTAATTTGAACACTTTTAGACCTGGAGTCTTCAAATTTGCGTTGTATATAAAGTTAATTGATACAAAGATTTTGTGATTTACAGATTTTGGATACCACGCCCCCTTCTCCCCCAATTTGTAAAAAACGCATTTCAAATACTAGAGACTTGTGCTTTGGAATGTACACATATATTCACCATATGATTACACTCTAAAAGTTTCATTAAGATCGTATGTCTATAAAAGAAATTATTCAACAAATAAATTCTCATAATATTGCCCACTGCAGCGCAGCCCAAGCGCAGTCGCTGCTTACTGCGCAGTTAGCAGAGCGCAGGCTTGTGCGTGCGTGTGGATGCATGTGTATGTATGTGTGCATAACAGAAGTGCAGAATGATTAGAATATCAGCTTGGAGGGTTCAGGGTATCTCCTAGTCGAGCAGTCTCGACTGGAGCCTTCTTACTTGTTATCTATATACATTTGTTTTGTTTTGTTTTTTTTTTTTTTGCTTTTTCCACGAATTGGCGAAATTGCGGGTGTTGCTGCTCGTTGTCTATCCATCCCCAACAGGTTACTAGACGAAGTCTCTGTCTCAGTCTCAGTCTCAGTCGCAGTCGCTGTCGCCGTCGGAGTCGCCGTCGGGGAGTGGCAGACAGACAGACAGAGAGACGAAGGCGACCAGCCCATCTATGTCGAAACGAAGACGACGATCGCATTATGCGGCACTGTTTAGTGCGCGCCAGCCTCAGTTCCTCCATAATTAGTCATATTTGTTTAGCATCAAAAGTTGTGAATGACTTCGCCAGCCTGGCTGCCAGTGGATCAGCGGCTCTTAGCAGTCAGTGATGAGCCGCTGAGCACGAGTATATATAAAGTGTTTATATAAGATGTGATTAGATATATGATTAATTTGAATATGCTTCAATTTATATCATAATATTATTATGTAATTTCAGCACTTGTTGACCAACAACAGCTTTTGTATAGTTAAACTACTGTTTCAAGACAGCCTAATAAATATTTGGTTCATCTCAGCAAAGCTTTCAATTTACTTTTACATGTTATTCATATCAGATAATATTTGCCATATTTTGAAAACCTAAAATGAGTTTTTTCTCAACAACAAATAATTTTTGAATATTTCGGCTAGGAAATATAGAAAGCAGCTTTCTGGATATAATCTTCGAAGCTTTTACTATATAGTATTGATAAAAGCCATTGGACTTCGATAAGATTCAAATTTAAATCTTATGTTAGGGCCGTTCAAGTGAACTTTTAGTTAACAGCTTGTGTTAAGTTTATAGCTTAATTTATACTTAATCTGCTGAATTTTTCTGCGCAGCAAAATTCATATCGAAGTTCTAATGAGCTTTCGAAGCTTAAAGTTTCATCTAAAACAGATAGTATATTTAAGTCGCTTTAAGCTTAAATGTCCAAAAGACTTTAGCTTCGTTACAGTTGTATGCATAGAGCTTTTTTTTAACTTATCTGACAGCAATCAGCTTGACAAATCGTGCTCGTGACACGACACGAGCTCAGCTCGACTGAGTGGCAGCTGAGTGGCTGGTCCTGGCCAACTAAGGCGCTGCTCGTTGAGCGGCCATTAGGCGGCGCACTTTACGCTTAACGCTTACACTGCGTTCTGTCAGCGCTGGATTTTCACTTTCTTTTAGAAACCGTACGCTACGTATGCAGTTGATGTTTGTTTTTGTTGCTATTGCTGTTGTTTCTGTTATTTTTGTAATTTTTTCACTTTTCAATAATTCGAATTTCGAATGCGTGCAACAATGTAGCCAAAGTGCGAGGAGCTCTGTCGGCGCGCCGTAGGCCAAATAAAAAACAAAAAACAAAAAACCAAAAAGCAAAAGCAAAAAGCGCATGAAACACAAAATTTGTTTATCTAATTAGCTATGCACCGGGCGACAACAACATTTCACTTGGTTCATTGTGGCTCGATTTTCGCCAGCCTTAGCATGCATGGCAGGTGCCAACAGCGGCAACAGCAGCAGCGGCAGCAAATCGAAACTGCCCTAACCCAAATGCAAGCCAAGAGACAAATGAAAGTGTTCTACGCAAAGGTAGCGGAAGTTGTTGTGGGTGAAATTAATATTATGGCTAGTGAAAGGTTGCCTAATTTCAGATCGTTAAACGTGCACCGCGCACCACATTTCTATCGAGCTGCCGCATTGCCTGTGCCTGTGCGTGTGCGTGTGCGTGTGCGTGTGTGTGTGCGTCTCTCTGATGACTCTTTCCAAGTAGCGACATGTTCATTAAAGCCGCACAGCACCATAAAACAAAAACAACAACAACAACAACAGCAGCTAGAGCAAGAGCTGAAAGGAAAAACAAATTTGCATGCTGGCAACATAAATCGTTGCACAAAATATTTAACAAGTCAGCAGCAACAGTTGAAATCAATAAATTTATTGATACAATTTATATACGCGGCACAGGACGTTCAACATGCAACACGCAATGCAGCGCTAATTAGAGGGGCGCAGGGAGCAGGAGTAGGCAGTGGCGGTTGCGGCGGCTGCGGCGACGACAGGAGACTGCAACAAAACTAACCAAATGACCAACTTTGGCTGCTCGCCTCCATTTCTCATACAAAGTGAAGCCGACAAAGCGCAGGGGCAAAGAGCTGAGTGGGGGTGTGTGTATGTATGTGTGTATGTATATAAGTGGGCGTGCCTGACAAACAATTTCATATTTACACCAACACAGCAGCGCACTTACTTGGCATTCTTTTGTGAAAGTCATGCAACGTCAAGTTCGTTGCCTAAGTCTTTTGTATTTGAATTTTTTCTTGCAATTTTTTGACCAAAATTTCTGCAACATTTCGCTTTAATTAACACATCAAGCTAATGAGCCGGCCTCAAAACTAACAACAATATTGAATGATTGTCTCTTTATCCGTATGAGCTATTGTTGTTGTAGTTGTTATTGTTGTTGTAGTTGTCGCAGTAAGCGTTTTAATAGCTTTACAAGTTTTATGCATGTCTCAAGTCGCGCGACGTCAACAAAACTCTTGGCAAAGACGCACACGCCCAAAACAGCAACCACAACAACCACAACAACAACAACAGCAACAACAACGAATCAACAATAGCCAGAGCCCAGCATGACTGGACTGTCACAGTTTGTTGTTGTTGTTGTTGTTGCGGTTGTTGTTATTGTTGCTGCGGCTATTTGCCTTAAGCTCTTAACATATTTTTCAATTTCAGCACCAAAGAAATGTTGATTCAATCAAATGCCAAAGATTGCTTTTTATGCAACACACATAAAACATGCCAATTGTACTTGTCCATGCAACAAAAGCGAAAGTTGGATCAGACATTGACCGCCCAAGTAGCAACAGCAGCACCGGCAACAACAACAACAAACTTCTTGCCCAGTTGAAGCAGTTGCAGCTCTTGAATAAGTTCAACCTCGAAAGTCTTATACGTGTATAAGTCTTTAAAGTATATAGTACATATACATATATACATCTTTTCTTTTTTTTTTTACATTCTTTTACATATTTTTGAAAGCTTGTCACAGCTCAATTGCTGATTGTTTGGGTGAAATGTTATTTGTTGCTTGTGCCAAATAGCTGCAAGCTGAAACGTGTTAAGAATCTATTAACAACATAATAAGTTAACCTTATTTGGTTATAAGCAAAAGTGTGTTCAAAATATTTATAAATTCTATTGACAGTCTGAACTACTTTAGCATAATTGAATAAACTTATTTTTTGGTATTGATTTGATGGTAAAAAGCAAACAATAGTATATAAATAAAAGGTACAATTCATAAAAAATAAAACATAATAAGCAAATACATATAATATTTAAATCGATAAATAATATAATAAATAAAGCCATATAAAAATATAGACCAATTTGAAATAAAAAAAATTCGTTTATGAATTTATAATTAAAAAAAAAAAATTTAATTTAACAATTCAAAAAAAAAAAAAAAATAATGAACAAAAATATATTGTTAAACTTTATGTACATATATATTTAACAATTTATTTAGAGGTTACAGGTCATATGAAATTAAAACTAAGTTATAGAATAAAGTACGGGCTGCGGAGGTATTCCGCCTTATATGTATTTAAGTGCAATAATAAATCAATTATACAAAGTAAATATGA